ACAGAAGTATGTGTAATGTCTCTCATATTTTTTCCATTTAACATATTTACAAATCAGTTTCATTTGATGAGACACTGGGGGGGGGGGGAGATGGGTGGCGATGTTTCTATTTTGCTTAATGTATGTAGGGTTTGGTGTCAGCATTGCTCATGATGTTCACTTGTGTTCCTTTGGTGGTGAGAGAGGTTGGGGTTGGCCTAGGGCGGGGGTCGGCAACCTGCGGCTCCAGAGCCGCATGCGGCTCTTTAAAGCCTTTGCTGCGGCTCCGGGGCGGTGGCGAGGGGAGGAGGCGAGGGGCGGAGGCGAGGGGCGGAGGTGACCAGCCTGCCGCCCGGCGGGCGGGGCGCCGTAAAGCAGAGCGCCCCCCTCGCCAGGCAGACATCCGCAGCGTGGGGAGCCTTGCCGGACTTCCCGGCAAGGCTCCCGACGCTGCGGATAGCAGCCTGCCCGCCCGGCGGGCGGGGCGCCGTAAAGAAGAGCGCCCCCCTCGCCAGGCAGACATCCGCAGTGTGGGGAGCCTTGCCGGAGGTCCCGGCAAGGCTCCCCACGCTGCGGATAGCAGCCTGCCGCCCCGCAGGCATCGGCCAGCCCCACAAGCTCGGGGGACAGCAGGGAGGCGAAGCGCCGCCATCCCGCTGTTCCTCGACCTGGTTCAGTTTCCCCGACCTGCTTTTGGGGGGGAAATAAAGGGAAATTTTTTCCCCTTTATTTCCCCCCCAAAAAACTAGGTGCGTCCTATGGGACGGAGCGTCCTATGGGGCGAAAAATACGGTATTTTTATAATGACGAATGCCTCATTATTAATTATTATTTACATCAGGCACTGATTATGATTTATGGTACACTGGGGCCCTGATTAATTTTCTATGGCATTTTGGGGCATTGATTATTGGGCATAGCAAGTCGCGGTCGCGTGGAATTTGTGCTTTGTGACCGTTTGAAGTGGGGTTTTTTTTCTTGGGAGGCTGGGCGGCACGAAGAGAGGGATTATTTTTATAATGATGAGGATGACATTGGGCCCTCATTATTAATTATTATTTACATCAGGCACTGATTATGATTTATGGTTCACTGGGGCCCTGGTTAATTTTCTATGGCATTTTGGGGCATTGATTATTGGGCATAGCAAGTCGCGGTCGCGTGGAATTTGTGCTTTGTGACCGTTTGAAGTGGGGTTTTTTTCTTGGGAGGCTGGGCGGCACGAAGAGAGGGATTATTTTTATAATGATGAGGATGACATTGGGCCCTCATTATTAATTATTATTTACATCAGGCACTGATTATGATTTATGGTTCACTGGGGCCCTGGTTAATTTTCTTTGGCATTTTGTGGCATTGATTATGCAGTCGCGGTCGCGTGGAATTCCACGTGGAGTTAGTTGCCTGAAGCCCCTTTTTAGTTGCTTGAAGCCCCTTTTTAAACTTAAGCAGGTGAAAGTTTGGTGAATTGCTGCCAAGGAGTGTGGTGGAGTCTCCTTATTTGGAGGTCTTTAAACAGAGGCTTGACAACCATATGTCAGGAGTGCTCTGATGGTGTTTCCTGCTTGGCAGGGGGTTGGACTCGATGGCCCTTGTGGTCTCTTCCACATATGTATGTGAGCAGGTCTTCTCCAACATGAACTATATTAAAAACAAGCACCGATCACGCCTCACAGATGACAGCTTGCAAGCCTGTGTGAAAATGAAGGTGACGTCTTACAGCCCTGATGTGCAGACACTGAGCACTGAGGTTCAGGAGCAAAAGTCCCATTAACCTGGTTACCTGGTTGTAAATTAAATATTTTAATTAGCTATTAATTTGTCCTTTTTTCTTGAGATTGACAGCTGACTGCACGATCCTGTATATATAGCATTAAGGCCAGAAACAATATATGTAGTGTTATATTTGTTTTAAATGTTGCAATGTTTTTGCGGCTCCCAGTTGTTGTTGTTTTTTCGGAAACGGGTCCAAGTGGCTCTTTTTGTCTTAAAGGTTGCAGACCCCTGGCCTAGGGTGTGGTTGTTCGTTTGTGGTTGGCTGTGGTGATCTTCGTTTTCATGCGTGAGTGGGGTGGGTGGGTGTTTGGGGTCAGGTTAGCCATATTGATTTGTATGCTGTTGGTGGATTATTATTGTCTTGTTGGGCTGTGTATGTGATAAAGGGGAGCCATACCGGGGTGAAGGCGTCTTCTTCTATTTGTCCCCGTGTCAGTTTCAGTTTATTGGTTAATTTTTCTAGTAGGGCTGTTTCCCATACTATTTGGTACCATTGGTCAATGCTTACTCCTGACAGGTCTCTCCAGTGTCTGGTTATGATGTTTCTGGCTGCTGAGAGTAGGTGGGTTATGAGTTCTTTGTGGTGTAAATGGGCCTTGTTGTCTTGGAAGAAATCCGTTCCACTGTTGAACAGCTCTTACTGTCAGAAAGTTCTTCCTGGTGTTTGGTCAGAATCTCATTTCTTGTCATTTGAATCCAATGCATATATGGATTTAGAGGAGCATGAGCTGTTTGGTCGCACTGGGCACAGAGCCTCAGGGGCACTGCGACTATGATGCAGAATGGAAGGCAAGAGGCGGGTGGCACCAAATTTTGGCATCGCATAAACAATAGCTGCCAGGGCAGTGACTGCCACTAAAGGGAAATCTCAGGACACACCAACAAAGGAAGAGTGGATTTGTAAATTAAGTGAGTATATAGAATTGGCAAATTTAACTTCAATTATAAGACATCAATCAAACCAAAAGTTAAGAATGGAGTGGAAGTATTTCGAAGATTACGTGTCAAAATATTGTTCTAAAAATGACACGCTAATAGGCTTAGAATAAAAAATGTAAGCAATAATAAAACCAATAAAGAAAGAAGGAAAAATCAGAATTAAACAAAAATAATTTATTATAGAATGCAAGGGGGGAAAGGTAGAAAGAAATACAGTGGTACCTCAGGTTAAGTACTTAATTCGTTCCGGAGGTCCGTACTTAACCTGAAACTGTTCTTAACCTGAAGCACCACTTTAGCTAATGGGGCCTCCCGCTGCTGCCGCGCCACTGGAGCACGATTTCTGTTCTCATCCTGAAGCAAAGTTCTTAACCTGAAGCACTATTTCTGGGTTAGCAGAGTATGTAACCTGAAGCATATGTAACCTGAAGCGTATGTCATCCGAGGTACCATTGTATAAAGAAGTCGAATTGCTGTGGAGAGAAGTAGAGGGTGGGAGGTGGGGTTTTATAATTAAGTGTATAATTATGCAGCTGTTGTAATTTAGATATTATATTTTATATGAGGGAATCATTGGGAATTTTGGTTATTATGTATATATGTTAAGTTTCAATAAAGATCTTTGGGGGGAAAACAAATGAATTTTGGTGTTGCATAGGTCCGCCATTGTCCATTCGTTCAGGTCCTGCTCTCTGGAGAGGCAGAAAACAAGCTTCCTCCATCTTCCACGGGCAGCCCTTCAGATATTTGAAGGCATCTATCAGAGGTGAAGAACCCTGTGGCCCTCCAGATGTTGATGGATTCCAACCCCCACCGTCCCTAACCACTGGCTAGGCTGGCTGGCGATGATGGTTGCCATCCAACCACATCTGGAGGTCCCCCATGGCTGGAGCAAAGAACATCCCTTAATGGCCTGGAATCTCTCTCTCCGCCTTTGGAATGCGACCCCCATCAAAGCTAGTCAAAAGGGGAAAGTTTGCAGGGAGTCTGCACCTGGGGACTTGGAGAGACCCTGAGAGCTAGGCTGAAGGGGAAAGCACCCTGGGGTGCTGTAGTGCCATTTGATGCAGCCATCTGGGTTTTGACAGCTGTTAGAATGGGGAGAGTAGTGATGTATGGAAGTGAGAGCTGGACCATCAAGAAGGCTGATCGCCGAAGAATTGATGCTTTTGAATTATGGTGCTGGAGAAGACTCTTGAGAGTCCCATGGACTGCAAGAAGATCCAACCTCTCCATTCTTAAGGAAATCATCCCTGAGTGCTCACTGGAAGGACAGATCCTGAAGCTGAGGTTCCAAGACTTTGGCCACCGCATAGGAAGAGAAGACTCCCTGGAAAAGAGCCTGATGTTGGGAAAGATGGAGGGCACAAGGAGAAGGGGACGACAGAGGACGAGATGGTTGGATAGTGTTCTCGAAGCTATGAATTTGAGTTTGACCAAACTGCGGGAGGCAGTGGAAGACAGGAGTGCCTGGCGTGCTCTGGTCCAGGGGGTCACGAAGAGTCGGACACGACTAAACAACAACAGAAAGGGGAGGCGTTCCCTCCCCTCCTACTGCTGCTCACGAAGTTCCCCTTGCTCGGAGAAGTGGGGAACGACCCTCCCCAGGAGACACTCCGCCGCAGGCATTTCCCTGGCGCGCCGTGCCAAAAACCTGGACGGCGTTTGCTCTCCGGGGCGCGCAGGTTGGAGGGGCTCGGTTGCAACGCCATTCTTCCCACCTACCCGCCGCCGCCGAGGAGAAACCTCGATCTGCAATGCAGCAGCGTTAAACGGGCGGCGGGGAGTGTGTGCGCGCGTGCAAGGCTCCTCCAGCGCCTTTCCGCGGACGCGCAGCGAACTCCGGCCGCCAGGTCGCGCCTGCTTGCAAGGCCAGGTCGGTTGCCAAAAAACAAGGAACACCCCACCCGTTTCCAGCTCAGAGACACCCCCCAACCTGTAGGCACGCAGGCAGGGCGGAGATGCCTTTGGAGACGTTGCAAAGGGGCCGCCTTGCTGGCTTATTTTATTGTATTTTTGCACCAGCCCCCCCTCCCCAAAAACCACCCCATTGCATGCATGCAAGCAGGCATCTTTTGCAGCGCGCCCCGTGCGCCTCGCCTGCGGCTGAGTCAGCGGCGGAGGAATGCGAGGGGGAGGGCGAGCAGGAGGCGCCGCCCCCCCCGGCCGCTCCTCGGGGGAGGGGGCGTTGCGCCTCTCGGCGGCCATGACGTCATGGCCTATGCAAATGACCCTCCGGTGGGGAGCGGGGGCTCCGCGGGGCGCGCGGCTCAGTCGCGCCGAGGAGGCGAAGCGGGCGCCACGAGGGGACGCAGCGCAGCAGCCGCAGCCGGAGCCGGGGAGGGTGGGCTGGGGGGCGCTGCGCGGGCTGCAAGCCATGGCCCAGCCCGGGCACCGCCAGGCGCCGCCGACGCCACCAGCAGCGGCGCCCCCTCCCGTCCAGCGGGAGCCAAGAGCGGACGGCAGCCAGGTGGGCATCTGGGACGGGGCGCCCGTGGCGCGAGGGGCGCGGGCTCTTCCGCCAGGGGTGCGGCGTCGGAGGGTGTCCTGAGAGTGTAGCCCGACGTCTTCCCTGGAGTTCCTTTGGAGAGGGTCTCCTGAAGTGGGGGAGACTTTTTTGGGGGGGGTCCAAGCCCTGACTCGGGACCCTTCCGAGGGCGCGGGGGTTGTGGGAACTAGTGGAGGGAGACTCCACTTCTCGTGGGATTCAAGGGTGCCAACTTGAATATTTTTTTTTGGGTGGGGGGAAACCATTTCAGTGCCATTGCCCATCAACTTGGGGGCCCTCAAATATTTCATTGGGGCCCCCAAAAGGCCCTCAGCCCCCTAGGAGCTGGCTCCTATGCTGGGATCCCCATCTCAGGTCCCCAGGCGCCCCCCACCCAAGCAACCGCCTGGCCGCAGAGGGGCGGGTGGGCGCAGCCGGTCGCGCCGCTGCGGTTTCTCCGGCGGGGTTGGGGGGTCGGGAGCCCAACCCCGGACAGAAAACCCTTCTCCCCTCCCTTCGCCCCCTTTCTAATCCCGAGTTCAGTTCAGGAATCCCACCTGCCTTTGGGAAACCTTTTCTCCCCTTTCCCAGCACCCACAAACGGTGCTTGGATAATTAAAGGCTCCCCCCCCCAGTCTAAAATAAAAGTGGGCTGTTTCGTTTCTTGTGAACGCTTCCGAGAGTGGGAGAGCTTGGGCAGGCGGACCCCCCAATATTCGCGTGCGCGCCTTAGTTTGTGCGAAGTGCGAGTTGCGCTTGTGCACGCACACGCAGGGTGGCCCCCTGTGGGCTCGAACAGCTGATCGGAGAAGGAAAGGGGGGGCGGCACGGCGACTGGAGCCTGCTTTTTTTCGGATTTTATTTTAGCAGCCTGGAAAGGGATCCATGCAGAGCGCCTCCTCCTCTGTTGAACTGTGTGCGCCTGTGGTCTTGGGAAAGGGGAGGGGGGCGCACACTGACTGGCAGAGTTTATTTTTGTCTCCTGCCTGCCTGCTGGAGCTGCCAGTGGGGCCTAAATCCAGGAGTGGGGAGGGTCTGGCTGGCTAGCTAGCTGCTTAGGAGATGCTCGGATCCTGTCGAGAGAGCTGCAGTGCTTCCTGGTCCAGGAGAGAGGAGAGCAGAGGACCAGGGCTTGGGGCTGGTTTGCACCAGCTCTCTGTAGCCGCAGTGTTAAAGTGTGTGTGCTTTCCTCCCCGCCCCCCTTTCCACTTCCCCCTCTTCTGTCCTCCTGTCCTCCCTGCCTTGAGTGATGGGATTGCAGTCCCTTGCTCCTCTTCCCCCTCTGGCCCAATCCAGGTAACATTCCTACCTTGGGAGAATCTGCTCATGGGCTATAGAAGCAACAGGGGGAGCTCCCTACTTTCTCCTCCTCCTCCTCCGCACTGTGTGGGAGGGAGGTTCCTTCTAAACCTCTGGAGGATGCAAAACCCACACCTGCCGCTGTGTGTGGGCTCCATATTTAGTGCCTGCTGTCTCTCCCTGCACCCTCAATTGCCTGACCTGTTATTTTTTTGGAGGGGAAGGAAAATAATAATAAAAAAACCTTGCAAAACATCACACTGCCGCTTCCCCTCGTAAAATGAAGAAGGAGCGAGCTCCCCCTCCCTCCTGGTTATCGCAGATCCCAAATTTTCCCTCTGTCATATTAGGAAGTGAGCCGAGGGTTCTGTCATGCTGAATCATAGCGCTGCCTTGCAAAGTGTGTCATCGTTACCATCACAGCAAAATTCTTCTTTCTCTCCCTCCCTCCCTCTCTCTCCAACAGTTGTGAATGCTTCTCCTCCTCCTCCTCTTTTTTCTTTTTTCTTTTTTTACCCCTCCTCGGCAAGGAATGCTGCGGCTGTGGATGGTCCAGAAAGCTTTCCCGTGGAAGGAGCCAGCGACGACTGGGCTAAAATAACCAGACTGGGAAAGGGAGAGTGACGGGTGGCGGCTGTACGACGCAGGGACCTGCATGATCTCCACACATTGCTGTGCCTTGTTGAGAAGTGGAGCTATAGAAGTCCCCTTGGCTTTCTGCGCTGCATGTCGTCGTCTTGGGAAGAATTAAGAGGCAGCCACCGGCATCTCGGCCTGGAAAGAGAGAGCGAGAGAAAGAGGGAGCCTGGGAGCACCAGGAAAGCAATTGCACGTCAAGATCCGTCCACAAACATCTGTCTTATTTCTGCAATAACAACACCATCGTAAAGTAGACTTCGGTGGGGGTGGGGGGGCGGAGAAGAAGAAGAAAAGGAGGGTTTTCTTCCTGCAGTTTTCCCGTCCCTGTATATGCACACATTTCCCCCTTCCTCTTAGCATTGCACGCACACAAGCTCATTCACACATACACACAAACACGCCAACCATGATGTTTCGAGACCAGGTCGGAGTGTTGGCAGGCTGGTTCAAGGGCTGGAACGAGTGCGAGCAAACTGTTGCGTTGCTCTCCCTGCTGAAGAGGGTGAGCCGGAGTCAAGCCCGTTTCCTGCAGCTCTGCCTTGAGCATTCCCTGGCGGACTGCACCGAACTCCACATCCTTGAGAACGAGGCCAACAATCCTGGTAAGATCCTTCTCTCTCTGTTTCTCTGTCCCTCCCTCCCTCTCCGCCCTCCCCTTCGCCGCTTGGTGCATCCAATCCGTCTTGAATGCCACATTGTTCTCTTGAGTGACGGCTAGAACAGGCTGGTGCACAACGCTTGGAGGGAGTTGTGGGGGACACCCCGTAGAAATCACCCTGGTTCCACACAAGGCGCGGCAGCAAAAACTTAAGCGCTGCTGGGATTTTCTCTTCCCCCCCTTTCCTTTCCTCTCTTTTGCTGCAAGCAGAAAAAGCTTTGGTGTAACTCCGGTAGCATGAATGATTGATACTCCTCCTCCCTCCCTCGCACAGAACTTCCTGTCACATAAGTAACTCAGGTCACGTAGAGTCTGGATTTCCTAGGCTCCTTTTGGGCAATGTTGCTTCTTGCTCTGCCTCTTCAGCAGCATGAAGAAGCAGAAGCAGTCGAGGGTGGCCTTGTGCAGGTTGCTAGATAATTCTCCCACCCCACTTCCAATTTGGGAGGATCCGGGAGCCAGTGAGAGATATCTTAATTTCATGTATGTGTGTGTATGTGTTAATGGCAATTGCTGTTTTCATATATGCAGTATTCCTAATATAGGTCAATTTTAGCAGTTGGTGCCGCTTCGCAAGAAATCTTTACTGGAAACGTTTCAGAGAGGAAATATGTCATTTCGTTGGAAAGTGCTGTGTTTTGCTTCATAAAATTCGATGTGTGGTTAAGTGGGCAGGCTTGGTTTTAATTTTGGGACAGTGGTACCTCGGGTTAAGAACTTAATTCATTCCGGGGGTCCATTTTTAACCTGAAACTGTTCTTAACCCGAGGTACCACTTTAGCTTTCTGTTCTCATCCTGAAGCAAAGTTCTTAACCCGAGGCACTATTTCTGGGTTAGCAGAGTCTGTAACCTGAAGCATATGTAACCCGAGGTACCACTGTATTCTCCCTTGTGTGCTGCATAGTAGCAACTCTCTCAGTGTTGGTGGTAAACTGACAGTGGCATGAAGGAAATGAGTGCAAATATTTCTCATTGCTTGAGTTAGAGCAAGATAAATTCCAGACACCTGGTCTGCCAGGTGCCAGAGAGTTTGCTGCTGGCAGATAGAGACATTTTTGCATGTTTGTTTCTCGTTTGAAGATCAACATGCTTCTGGTGGAAAAAAATATAGTGTAGTTAACAAATGCTCAGTGTTCGTTACAATTTCGGGTGTTGAGAGGCTAGCTTTTGAGAGGGCATCAGATTGCACGGTAACAACAAAATGGTTGTTTAGTCATTTAGTTGTGTCCGACTCTTCGTGACCCCCTGGACCAGAGCACGCCAGGCACTTCTGTCTTCCACTGCCTCCCGCAGTTTGGTCAAACTCATGCTGGTAGCTTCGAGAACACTGTCCCACCATCTCGTCCTCTGTCGTCCCCTTCTCCTTGTGCCCTCCATCTTTCCCAACATCAGGGTCTTTTCCAGGGAGTCTTCTCTTCTCATGAGGTGGCCAAAGTCTTGGAGCCTCAGCTTCAGGATCTGTCCTTCCAGTGAGCACTCAGGGCTGATTTCTTTCAGAATGGATAGGTTTGATCTTCTTGCAGTCCATGGGACTCTCCAGAGTCTCCTCCAGCACCATAAGTCAAAAGCATCAATTCTTCGGCGGTCAGCCTTCTTTATGGTCCAGCTCTCACTTCCATACATCACTACTGGGAAAACCATAGCTTTAACTATATGGACCTTTGTTGGCAAGGTGATGTCTCTGCTTTTTAAGATGCTGTCTAGGTTTGTCATTGCTTTTCTCCCAAGAAGCAGGCGTCTTTTAATTTCGTGGCTGCTGTCACCATCTGCAGTGATCATGGAGCCCAAGAAAGTAAAGATGGTGATGATGATTTATACTGTCCTTTATCAAAAGATCTCAGAGCAACATTAGAAACACATTACAAAACATCAATGATAAAAACATAGTAGAAAGCATTCTGACAGACAGCTTAATACAGTGGTACCTTGGTTCTCAAACTTAATCCGTTCTGGAAGTCCATTCCCAAACCAAAGCGTTCCAAAACCAAGGTGTGCTTTCCCACAGAAAGTAATGCAAAACGGATTAATGTGTTCCAGACTTTTAAAAACAACCCCTAAAACAGGAATTTAGCAGGAATTTTACTATCTAACGAGACCATTGATCCATAAAATGAAAGAAATAAACAATGTACTGCAGTCACACAATTAATCAATCAGTAGCTGAACTGGGTTCCACACAGTCACAAAAACAAAACAAAAAGAGCCACAGAAACACAAAATGAATAGCAAATACAGACAGACCTCAACACAACACTCAAAACAGAAGTGTGGCGCTCAAAATGGAGCACATTCGGCTTCCGATAAAAGTTTGCAAACTGGAACACTTACTTCCGGGTTTGCAGTGTTTGGGTTCCAAGTTGTTTGAGTACCAAGGCGTTTGAGAACCAAGGTACCAGTGTAGTAAAATAATCAACATAATAACAGTCTGCTTCAAATGCTGTATCTGCCATGAACTCACCAGATGCCCTTAGACAAGCCAGTCTCAGCCTAGTGGCCTACCTTACTGCGTTGTCGTAATGTATGGAGATAGCGTCTGCAAGGTGCTTTGAACACCGGAAAGCATTCTATATAAATGCTCAGTGGTCTTAGCCACCAGAAAAGGGCACGTCTTTGGACCAGCAGCTGCTGGTTTTAAGAATGTCTCATAGTAGCCCTTTAAAAAAAATGCAGCCGAACATGGTGCGTAACAGCTGCTCATGAGTAGTCACGTCACAGGAATGCATAAGGCAAAGGAGTCTCTGAGTGGGGAGAAGGGCTTGTGGGCTTGTGCTCTCTGCTTTGGCGCTGCACTGGATTTGCAAATGCAAGCCCAGGTTCACTTACTGTTCTGTTTGCTTGCTTGTTTGTTTATAGGCATTTATAGCCCGCCCTTCACATTGCCATCTCAGGGCAGGTTGCATACATCTCCATCCAATTAAGCCAGCGGTGAGCAACCTAAGGCCCGGGGGCCGGATGCGGCCCAATCGCCTTCTCAATCTGGCCCCCGGACAGTCCGGGAATCAGCGTGTTTTTACATGAGTAGAATGTGTCCTTTTATTTAAAATGCACCTCTGGGTTATTTGTGGGGCCTGCCTGGTGTTTTTACAGGAGTAGAACGTGTCCTTTTATTTAAATTGCATCTCTGGGTTATTTGTGGGGCATAGGATTTCATTCTTTTTTTCCCCTCTTCAAAATATAGTCTGGCCCCCCACATGGTCTGAGGGACAGTGGACTGGCCCACGGGTGAAAAAGGCTGCTGACCCCTGAGTTAAGCCATGCAAGATCTCCCACCCCCAAAGGTCTATGAAAAAAGATGTATTTTGAATTGATATTCGTTCTGGCTTCTCTAGGGACCCCTTGTTGTGCATGCTTGGTCTTGGTTTTGGAGCCGAATCACAGAATTGTAGACTTGTAAAAGACTGAGGACTCTCTTAAGTCCAACCCCCCGCAATGCAGAATATGTAGGTGTCCCAAATAGGGATCAAACCCACAACCTTGGTGTTACCACTCCCGTCCTCTTGACCAACTGAGCTATCCACACAGTTGATTTAACTCCTCTCCCAGATCTAAGGAGTCATGGCTAGCAGTCAGTTGGAAGCAAATGGTGAGAATGAGTGACAAGCTGTCTTGCTGGAGATGCTTTTGTATATGTCACTTGCTAAGTTTTCCTTCTAATATTAGAAGCGTGGAGCTGTTGGGGAAAGGCGCTCTCTGCTTCTGCTCAGAGGCTCTTTGTTCATTGATCTGTACTTAGGTTGAACTCTGTCCAGCTTTGGAGTGTGTGTTTATGTGTGTTCATCTTCAGATTCTTGTGTTGCAAATTAAATGTCTTGAGGGATGGGGGAAGAAATGCTTTGATCTTAGTTGCCTTGAACACAGATCATAAAACGGTCCAATATATAAGTGATTTTCTATTCCTTTTTAAAATTCTGCAGTTACAGTCAGAAGCTGCTGTGTGTTTTATTTTTTTTAAAAGGGAAAAAACACTCGCAATATAAGAGCCAGGTGATTGAAAACGACCAAACTTTGTGTATTTGATCCTTGCTTTCAAATTCCTGACCCGCGAGGTAAGGACGTTCTACGTATGCTCAGAGGTTAGTGCAGAAGTAAGAGCCAGTGCACGACATTAAACTGGGAAGTGCCCAGTTTGCAAAACATCTGCGCCACAAACCTGCTGGGTCGGCCCTAAGTGGCATGCAGCTCACATCCTGACATGGTCATGCACTGCAACATGGGGGTGGTGATACTGCCTTACTGTACATGGTGAGACTGCTCAAAGGAGAACTGAGCATGCTCAGAGACTGCAGAATGCCGCGTGTCTGTTTAAGCGGAGTGCGGGGGATGGAAAACCAGGAGAGGATTGGAGTGGTGGTGGAATGGAGTATCCCAGAGAAAGGGCTGGCTGGCAAGACCACTGAATAGAAGCACTGTATACAGTACAACATGGGACGCAGGTGGCGCTGTGGGTTAAACCACAGAGCCTAGGACTTGCCAATCAGAAGGTTGGTGGTTCGAATCCCTGCGACGGGGTGAGCTCCCATTCCTTGGTCCCTGCTCCTGCCAACCTAGCAGTTCGAAAGCACGCCAGTGCAAGTAGATAAATAGGTACCGCTCTGGCGGGAAGGTAAACGGCGTCTCCGTGTGCTGCTCTGGTTCGCCAGAAGCGGCTTAGTCATGCTGGCTACATGACCCGGAAGCTGTACGCCGGCTCCCTCGGCCAATAAAGCGAGATGAGCGCCGCAACCCCAGAGTCGGCCACAACTGGACCTAATGGTCAGGGGTCCCTTTACCTTTATACAATACAACAACATTTTACTGCAGGGCCCACTTGGTCAGGGAAGTGTCAGGATTTGAGCCTGGCTAGCAGCTCTCCTCCCTGAATTAATTCTAAGGCTGTTTATTTGCACTGGAGGCAAGGGCTCTCTGCACGTACTCAGAGGCACTCATATCGCAGGATTCTGGCT